CTCTCGAAAAGGGACTCTTGACATAAAATGTCTTTAATTATTTTCCCTCTCTCCTGGCTCTGTCTCCAGGACTCCAGGCGAGAGTGGAGAAGCAGCAGGCCCGAGCTTGTTTCAGGATGACAAAAGATTCACCCTGGCCACCGGGCCCTGGGGAGTCTGGGAAGGAAGTTGTCAAGAGGCTCTCCTCACCTGCTCAGCAGTAGTCTGACTGTGTTGTGGCAGAGCGAGGAGGAGGAGGAGGAGGAGGAGGAGAAGGAGGCAAGGGACTGCCACTCTGTGTGGGCTGTGCCAGCTTCACACACACATACAACAAAAAAAAAAAAAAACCATGACTGGGCTGCACAGCAGGGCTGTAAGAAGTCGCACACATTTGAACCATCCGTTTCTTAAACTCCACCTGGAGAATTCACAGATCGAAGCTAAAGATTAAACTCATCACCATTTATACACCTGACATCAGTCAGACACTGTTTTCAAAGGTTGGAGATAATATCATGTTGTTATTTAAACACGCTGTGGGGAGACTTTTACTTTTGATCAGTTCAAGCTTCAACACCAGGATTCAACTTCAGGTCAGACGCCCGGCCCGTGTCAGACCTGCCTAATCGAGTACAGAGCAGTACAGTGGATCTAGTCGGTTCCCGTAGCGGTTAGCGCGTGGGATCCATCGGCACAGAGAGCAGAGCGTCTTGTGTTCGATTCCCAGAGAAACCACATGTTTGGTGCTTGCTAGGGGCAGCCTGCTAACAACATATCTGCTGCTAACACAACAATTTCCCAAATATAAAATAAATTTGAATGTTTTGAGTTTCTACCATATTAAGTTTCAGCAGTAGATCAATGTTGATCAAACCAAATTAATCATGATTAATCAGCCGCTACCAGATTATCCAAGGTTTCATTGGTTTGACGGCTCTAAATTAAAGGTATTGTAAACTGACTGGAGATGATGATGGAGTTGAAGTCAAGGAACAAGGTGTTAAATAAAGTTTCTTTTCTTTTCCGCAGCGTCTCATGGAGGAACCTGGAGATCCCACCAGAGTTCCTCCTTCCAAGAGATTCTAGAGGGCGCCGCGGCACCTGGTGTTCCTGTGAGCCCCTCCCTCCAGACCCCAAACTGCCTTCTGTGTACGTAAGCGATGTGGCGTTAAAGCAAGTCGGTGACGACGTGCTGAAAAATGCAGCGTCAAACTTCAAATCCAGTCTTTGGAAGGTTTGGAATTTCAATGAGAGACGAAACACGATTATTGGGAAATATATGTAGAGTATATTTCAGAATGAAAGTTGAATTTTAAACTGTTTTAACCTGTGAGTAGAGGTGAAGTTCATGGGGCTGCAGGGCTTAAAAAAAACTGTAAACAATAAGGACTGGATAAAAACATGATGATATTTAAAGTCCTTAAAGACTTTTGCCTTTTCTACAGCTCTAATATGAATATTATACTTTTAGATTTAGGTTTCAGACACATTTATTGATATTTACTATTTGTGCCACGTGACAAACAGGGAACTTATCGCCTAGGCAACAGCAGCCGGCGGCGGTGGCATGCTGGAGGAGGAGGAGGAGGAGGAGGAGGAGGAGGAGAGAAGGTACTGGATTGATTTCGGTATTGACAGATACTCCAAGATGCAGTACTGGTGTCGGACAAGAAAAAGAAAGAGCATCAGTCACCGCAGGAGACACAAGCAGTGATTTTGGACATGAAGTGACGGAGCTGTAGGTTTGGTGATTCAGTGATCACCTGGTACCACCTGGTATCACCTGGTACCACCTGGTGTCACCTGGTATCACCTGGTATCACCTGGTATCACCTGGTATCACATGGTACCACCTGGTACCACCTGGTACCACCTGGTGCCTCCTGGTATCACCTGGTATCACCTGGTATCACATGGTACCACCTGGTACCACCTGGTATCACCTGGTATCACCTGGTATCACATGGTACCACCTGGTACCACCTGGTATCACCTGGAATCACCTGGTACCACCTGGTACCACCTGGTATCACCTGGTACCACCTGGTATCTAGATAGTTAAATAGATTAATCCCTCGGGAAATGTAGGAACTTCTTGCTAATGCTAACCGCTACACTACAGAACCGACTGTCGTCTCTAATCCTAAATAGAACCTGGACTTTATTTGATCAAGTCCAGGTTCTATTTCAGACCAGAGACTAAAGGACCAGGCTGTGACGACTGAGCTCCAGAAGGAAACCAGAACAGAGAGAGAGAGAGAGAGAGAGACTGAGACTGAGACTGAGACTGAGACAGACAGAGTGACAGTTTTAAACTGGGACAGAGACAAAATGAACAGCGTCAAACCAACTCTCCTGAGTCCCTCCCTCTGTCTCCACTCCGTCCCCGTGGAGCCATTGAAAATCCTCCTCGCCATCAAATACAAAGTTTATTTCTGTTAAATGAACAAGTGTCATTTCCAGTTCCTCCTCTCACTGCACTCAAACGCTTTTATGTTGATGTCGTCAAGCCTGTTCTGCAATTAATATTTCATGTTTATGTGCATTTTCATATACTGTGTGTGTGTGTGTTTCCGCAAATCATTACATTGTCTTTTCATGGGAGGGGGTCGGAATCAAAGTGAACACAATGTCAGTGGAAAAGAAGGAGGCGCAGCCCAAAGACTGTCACTGAGGACGGAGGGAGAGGAGCTGATTCTACACACACACACACACACACACACCGACACACACACACACACAGTGTTCTGTGGAGCAGCAGAGAACACTGCAGCCGCGGTGGTGAGGGGGGGGTTTTAATGAGGCGGGAACACAATCACTGGTGTTTTGTTTTTCCGGGGTGTGAGGGAGAAAAACAGGCATAAAGTGATTAGTTTGAAGTTTTATTCACAAGTAAAATTAGGAACGTTGAGAATCTTTCCCTCCACAGACTTTAGTTCATTAGTCCCACAGCAAACAAAGGTTAGTTCAGTATCAGCCGCGGATAAAACTCTGAGGTTTGGTAAATGTTTTAAGAAACTTTGTTTTTAGTTTAGTTTTTTTTTTTCTTTCTTTCTGTTTACATGTTACATGTTTACTTAGTTTTTTCCTCACCTACCTTTTTTTTCTTTCGTTTTTCACTTCTCCAACCAAAAATTAACTTTAAAAAACAAAAAAAAACTTTCAGCTTTTTTGTATGTTTTAGTTTTAGTCGAACATTAATTAATAAATGTTAAATACTGGCTAACTGTTAGCTCTACTGTACAGGCTAAGACTGAGTCATGATTTGAAGTCAGTCAACAATGTGGTAATATTTACGTTCAGTCGTCAGTGGAGCTCTAACTTTAACCTATGGTTTTGAATATTATAAAAAAAAAACAATTAAATTCATATTTATTATTCTCCTTTTTCAGCTGCTGCCTTTAGAGGTCACTAAAACCAATGGTGTGTCCCTCTCTCTCTCTCCCTCACCTCTCTCTCTCTCTCTCTCTCATCACCTCTCTCTCTCTCTCCCTCACCTCTCTCTCTCTCTCTCTCCATCCCCTCTCCCTTTCTCTCTCTCTCTCTCTCTCCCTCTCCCCTCTCTCTCTCTCTCTCTCCCTCTCCCCTCTCTCTCTCTCTCTCTCCATCACATCTTACAGCAGCCATTTTCATGTCCAGAAGCAGCTTTTGGTGCTTCTAGAAAATCCAGGAAATGGATAAATGTATGTTTAATAAGTGGAGTTTAAAGGCACGGCGCCTGCAGCGCCATCATCAGGTAACGCCTCCGCCGTAATGGCTCTGACAAACTAATTAACTTCTACGGCTTGAGTGAAGCTAACAAGACGCGCGCAGGCATCAGAGGAAGGCCAAGCTCTACAGGTGATAACCCTATTTGGCGGTGACATTTTTTAGTGTAAAGTCACAGTGGTGGTGATGAGATCAAAGGCAGAAAGTCCCCCACTGGGTCCAATTAGAAGTATGCATTGTACGGGGAAAGCGGCAGAGCGGCGGAGAGGAGTGTGTGGATGTGAGAGAGAGAGAGAGAGAGAGAGAGAGAGACGTGGGGAAGAAGAAGAAGAAAAAAAAAACTGTTGAGTTATGATATTCATAATCCATGCAGAGAGTCCTTTCCAGTACAGGTCCTCTCCCCGTAGCTGTGATCTTTTCAATTTACATCAAGGGAGGATGGTCGGGGATGAAAGAAGGGCGTCCGAGGCGCACAACCCACGGAGGGCAGACATGGGGCCTCATTAAGTCCCAGCCCAGTCGGCCCAAAACAGGGCTTGAAGTGCGTCACATAAAGAGCACGGGTTCAAAGGTCAGACTTGGAACAGATCTCCATTTAACTCTTCAGCTGGAGCTGGTAATTAGCAGGTGCAACGATGATCCCTGCCTGACTGTAAGGGACGACACCACACATCTGTGTGATACGGACACACACACACACACACACACACACACAGACAGACTGGTCTTCGATACATTGGCGTCCTCTTTCTTAAACTTCTATCATATATCATTCCAATTTGCAGAAAGTTCAAGACTGTGCACATAATAAAGGTTACGGT